CCCCATCTACTGAATTTTATTTTCATTTTCTTGCCGTTGCCCCAAAGAAATGAGATAATGGTCTAACTTCTTTTTCTTGCTTTGCCCCCCAGATGTGAGTAACTGGTCTAACTTCTTTTTCTTGCTTTGCCCCCCAGATGTGAGTAACTGGTCTAACTTCATTTTCTTGCTTTGCCCCCAAGAAATGAGTAACTGGTCTAATTTCATTTTCTCGCTTTGCCCCCCAGATGTGAGTAACTGGTCTAACTTCATTTTCTTGCTTTGCCCCCAAGAAATGAGTAACTGGTCTAATTTAATTTTCTTGCTTTGCCCCCCAGATGTGAGTTACTGGTCTAATTTCATTTTCTTGCTTTGCCCCCCAAGAAATGAGTTACTGGTCTAATTTAGTTTCCTTGCTTTGCCCCCAAGAAATGAGTTACTGGTCTAATTTCATTTTCTTGCTTTGCCCCCCAGATGTGAGTTACTGGTCTAACTTCATTTTCTTGCTTTGCCCCCAAGAAATGAGTAACTGGTCTAATTTCATTTTCTCGCTTTGCCCCCCAGATGTGAGTTACTGGTCTAATTTCATTTTCTCGCTTTGCCCCACAGATGTGAGTTACTGGTCTAATTTTATTTCCTTGCTTTGCCCCAAAGAAATAAGTTACTGGTCTAACTTCATTTTCTTGCTTTGCCCCCAAGAAATGAGTTACGGGTCTAATTTCATTTTCTTGCTTTGCCCCCCAGATGTGAGTTACTGGTCTAATTTCATTTTCTTGCTTTGCCCCCCTGATGTGAGTTACTGGTCTAATTTCATTTTCTTGCTTTGCCCCCAAGAAATAAATTACTGGTCTAATTTCATTTCCTTGCTTTGCCCCAAAGAAATGAGTTACTGGTCTAACTTCATTTTCTTGCTTTGCCCCCAAGAAATGAGTTACTGGTCTAACTTCATTTTCTTGCTTTGCCCCCAAGAAATGAGTAACTGGTCTAATTTCATTTTCTCGCTTTGCCCCACAGATGTGAGTTACTGGTCTAATTTCATTTCCTTGCTTTGCCCCCAAGAAATGAGTTACTGGTCTAACTTCATTTTCTTGCTTTGCCCCCAAGAAATGAGTTACTGGTCTAACTTCATTTTCTTGCTTTGCCCCCCAGATGTGAGTTACTGGTCTAATTTCATTTTCTTGCTTTGCCCCCAAGAAATGAGTTACTGGTCTAACTTCATTTTCTTGCTTTGCCCCCAAGAAATGAGTTACTGGTCTAACTTCATTTTCTTGCTTTGCTCCCAAGAAATGAGTAACTGGTCTAATTTCATTTTCTCGCTTTGCCCCCCAGATGTGAGTTACTGGTCTAATTTCATTTTCGTGCTTTGCCCCCAAGAAATGAGTTACTGGTCTAATTTCATTTCCTTGCTTTGCCCCCAAGAAATGAGTTACTGGTCTAACTTCATTGTCTTGCTTTGCCCCCAAGAAATGAGTAACTGGTCTAATTTCATTTTCTCGCTTTGCCCCCCAGATGTGAGTTACTGGTCTAATTTCATTTTCTCGCTTTGCCCCCCAGATGTGAGTTACTGGTCTAACTTCATTTTCTTGCTTTGCCCCCAAGAAATGAGTAACTGGTCTAATTTCATTTCCTTGCTTTGCCCCCAAGAAATGAGTAACTGGTCTAATTTCATTTTCTTGCTTTGCCCCAAAAAAATAAGTTACTGGTCTAACTTCATTTTCTTACTTTGCCCCCAAGAAATGAGTAACTGGTCTAATTTCATTTCCTTGCTTTGCCCCCAAGAAATGAGTAACTGGTCTAATTTCATTTTCTTGCTTTGCCCCCCAGATGTGAGTTACTGGTCTAATTTCATTGTCTTGCTTTGCCCCCCAAGAAATGAGTTACTGGTCTAATTTCATTTCCTTGCTTTGCCCAGAAAGAAATGAGTTACTGGTCTAATTTCATTTTCTCGCTTTGCCCCCCAGATGTGAGTTACTGGTCTAATTTAATTTCCTTGCTTTGCCCCCAAGAAATGAGTTACTGGTCTAACTTCATTTTCTTGCTTTGCCCCCAAGAAATGAGTAACTGGTCTAATTTCATTTTCTCGCTTTGCCCCCAAGAAATGAGTAACTGGTCTAATTTCATTTTCTTGCTTTGCCCCCAAGAAATGAGTAACTGGTCTAATTTCATTTCCTTGCTTTGCCCCCAAGAAATGAGTAACTGGTCTAATTTCATTTTCTTGCATTGCCCCCAAGAAATGAGTAACTGGTCTAATTTCATTTTCTTGCTTTGCCCCCAAGAAATTAGTAACTGGTCTAATTTCATTTCCTTGCTTTGCCCCCAAGAAATGAGTAACTGGTCTAATTTCATTTTCTTGCTTTGCCCCCCAGATGTGAGTTACTGGTCTAATTTCATTTTCTTGCTTTGCCCCCAAGAAATGAGTAACTGGTCTAATTTAATTTCCTTGCTTTGCCCCCAAGAAATGAGTAACTGGTCTAATTTAATTTCCTTGCTTTGCCCCCAAGAAATGAGTAAATGGTCTAATTTCATTTTCTCGCTTTGCCCCCAAGAAATGAGTAACTGGTCTAATTTCATTTCCTTGCTTTGCCCCCAAGAAATGAGTTACTGGTCTAATTTCATTTCCTTGCTTTGCCCCCAAGAAATGAGTTACTGGTCTAACTTCATTTTCTTGCTTTGCCCCCAAGAAATGAGTAACTGGTCTAATTTCATTTTCTCGCTTTGCCCCCCAGATGTGAGTTACTGGTTTAATTTCATTTTCTCGCTTTGCCCCCCAGATGTGAGTTACTGGTCTAATTTTATTTCCTTGCTTTGCCCCAAAGAAATATAGTTACTGGTCTAACTTCATTTTCTTGCTTTGCCCCCAAGAAATGAGTAACTGGTCTAATTTCATTTTCTTGCTTTGCCCCAAAGAAATAAGTTACTGGTCTAACTTCATTTTCTTGCTTTGCCCCCAAGAAATGAGTAACTGGTCTAATTTCATTTCCTTGCTTTGCCCCCAAGAAATGAGTAACTGGTCTAATTTCATTTTCTTGCTTTGCCCCCCAGATGTGAGTTACTGGTCTAATTTGATTTTCTTGCTTTGCCCCCCAAGAAATGAGTTACTGGTCTAACTTCATTTCCTTGCTTTGCCCAGAAAGAAATGAGTTACTGGTCTAATTTCATTTTCTCGCTTTGCCCCCCAGATGTGAGTTACTGGTCTAATTTTATTTCCTTGCTTTGCCCCAAAGAAATAAGTTACTGGTCTAAATTCATTTACTTGCTTTGCCCCCCAAGAAATGAGTTACTGGTCTAATTTAATTTCCTTGGTTTGCCCCCAAGAAATGAGTTACTGGTCTAACTTCATTTTCTTGCTTTGCCCCCAAGAAATGAGTAACTGGTCTAATTTCATTTTCTTGCATTGCCCCCAAGAAATGAGTAACTGGTCTAATTTCATTTCCTTGCTTTGACCCCAAGAAATGAGTAACTGGTCTAATTTCATTTTCTTGCATTGCCCCCAAGAAATGAGTAACTGGTCTAATTTCATTTTCTCGCTTTGCCCCCAAGAAATGAGTAACTGGTCTAATTTCATTTTCTTGCATTGCCCCCAAGAAATGAGTAACTGGTGGTCTAATTTCATTTTCTCGCTTTGCCCCCAAGAAATGAGTAACTGGTCTAATTTCATTTTCTTGCATTGCCCCCAAGAAATGAGTCACTGGTCTAATTTCATTTCCTTGCTTTGCCCCCAAGAAATGAGTAACTGGTCTAATTTCATTTCCTTGCTTTGCCCCCAAGAAATGAGTAACTGGTCTAATTTCATTTTCTTGCATTGCCCCCAAGAAATGAGTAACTGGTCTAATTTCATTTTCTCGCTTTGCTCCCAAGAAATGAGTCACTGGTCTAATTTCATTTCCTTGCTTTGCCCCCAAGACATGAGTAACTGGTCTAATTTCATTTCCTTGCTTTGCCCCCAAGAAATGAGTTACTGGTCTAATTTCATTTCCTTGCTTTGCCCCCAAGAAATGAGTTACTGGTCTAATTTCATTTCCTTGCTTTGCCCCCAAGAAATGAGTTACTGGTCTAATTTCATTTTCTTGCTTTGCCCCCAAGAAATTAGTAACTGGTCTAATTTCATTTCCTTGCTTTGCCCCCAAGAAATGAGTAACTGGTCTAATTTCATTTTCTTGCTTTGCCCCCCAGATGTGAGTTACTGGTCTAATTTCATTTTCTTGCTTTGCCCCCAAGAAATGAGTAACTGGTCTAATTTCATTTCCTTGCTTTGCCCCCAAGAAATGAGTAACTGGTCTAATTTCATTTTCTTGCTTTGCCCCCCAGATGTGAGTTACTGGTCTAATTTCATTTTCTTGCTTTGCCCCCAAGAAATGAGTAACTGGTCTAATTTCATTTTCTTGCTTTGCCCCCCAGATGTGAGTTACTGGTCTAATTTCATTTCCTTGCTTTGCCCCCAAGAAATGAGTTACTGGTCTAATTTCATTTCCTTGCTTTGCCCCCAAGAAATGAGTAACTGGTCTAATTTCATTTCCTTGCTTTGCCCCCAAGAAATGAGTCGATGGTCTAATTTCATTTTCTTTTCCTGGTTTGCTTGCGATGTTGTCTGAAGCTGAAGAGAGAGAACAGATACACACTCATACATATATTAAGACAAATAACCACAGAAATCATGGTTGCGTTCTGGCATACTCACTTTTACCAACATTGTCCTGCATCTTCTGTAAGACACTGAGCTTCAGGTTGGTCAGGTGATCTGTGAAAGTGATCGGCACACTTGGACTGGGGTCTGGATCTGGAAGATATTGGGCTCTGAAACAACATCCAAGAGTCAGAGATGCTGAAGGTTCAATGTGGTTCTATGTAGAAATCAGGGGTTCGACACTAAATTTTAAGAACCCTTTATGCCACAAAGTTTCTAAGGAAACATATCTTTAATTTTTTACTTTTATATTTAATTGGTTATTTAAATTTTTAGTGAAAAAGATTACAAGTTGTTGAATGAATGAATGAATGAATGAATGAATGGGTTTATTCAAACTAAATCCATAATATGATGGGAACCTCTAAAAGGATCTATATATGAAGCGTCTGACGGAACCCTTTAATATTCCATATAGAACCTTTTCTTCTAAGAGTGATGATTTGAGTTTTGAAACACAGAGAGAAACAAACACAAACCTTTGCAATGTGGCCTTAAAGTTCTGTAAAGGAAAAATAAAGAAATGTAAATTATTCAGCAAAACTGAATCTAGCATAAATCTCTGAAATTGACATTCATATAGAAGATGAAGTAGTTTTATTTATATAGTGCCTTTCCATAGCTCAAGCTCGCTTTACATTGTACATTACAATACATTTACACACCCACATTGCAAACACATAAGGACACATATAGCCACATTATCCAAATTGCATATAACTGGAGAATAATGAAGATGAATTGACACCTGCAGGAATGAAGCATCTTCAGCCTTCATCTGCTCCTCGATGTCTCTGATTGTGATTGTGAGAGATGAAATATGTTTGCTCGTCTCTTCAATCTTCTCCTTCATCCTCTGACTCATCTTCTCCTCTTCCTCTCTCAACGCTGTTATTCTGGCCACTTCTTCATCATGTAGAAACTGGTGAAGTTCCTCCAACTCATCTATAATCTGAGTCTCTTTGCATTGAGCGTGAAACTGAAATTAGAGACAACAATATTGACCAAACTAGATCTACATCAGTATCTACACTTCCAGAATTGCATTAATCACATTGATTATTTCTAACCTTAATATCTTCAGCAGTTTCACACAGATTCTGTTCATGATTCACAGATGTCCTCAGTTCCTTCTGTAAGTCTTCCAGTAAAGCTTTGAGTATCTCCTGAAAGAAAACAACAAAAAAGTGTCTATTGTTGAATTTATTTTATTGCACCATAACTCAAAACATTATAACATCTTAATCTGATGATGCACTAAATTGAAATATTAAAAGCAAACATTAGATAATATAGTGTAAGGGCCCTATTTTAACGATCTAAGCGTATGGTCTAAAGCACAGGGCTCATGCAATTAGGATGTGTCCGAATCCACTTTTGCTAGTTTAACGACGTGAAAAATGGTCAGCGCGCGGTGCATGGTCTAAAAGGGTTGTCCCTATTTTCTTTAAAAGTGCCATGGTGTCTCCAGAGCACAAACAGATCTGCTCGCAAACAGACCATCTACAGGATCCCCCCATATCATTATGTACACAATATTAATCTTTTACATTGTAATCCTTTTATTTTTAATATTTGGCATGTTTGTGTGCTGCTGCTAGTGTGTCACTAAGCATCAAAATTTGATTGGCTGATAACACACGTTAGTCAAAGTTATGATCAAATGGAAAATGACAGCTTCAACAGAAGGCTACACTACTAGTGTTGGTCAACAGAGCTGTGTTTAGATGACATATGGAAAATGAGGCTCAGCCTCGCAAAAAATAACCATATTCTTTCTTGAAATGTAATTGTAACATACTGAAATAGACAGTAATCTGATTTAGACGCACATTCATTTAATTTAATTATGAATTATTTTTATTTTGACATGGCCAGCAGAGAAGGCCCTAATATCCCACCACTGTGAATAACATTTAAAGGCTACATATGATCATGTGTGTATAATCATGTTTTGTTTTAGAATTGAATATATTATGTATTATATCGTAATATCGTAAAAATGTAGCTACTTAATTCAATTTTACATTTCACTTGTTTGCATTGCAATGGATCTCCTATCTGCAGTGGCAGGTCTCTTGTCCTTGTTAAACTAGTGAACATGACGTGGTTGCCCTTAACTAACATACAAGTTTAAGAACATTAAAATACTTGAAAACAACCACAACACGGTCTTTAACCAAGGTAACATTAGCCTGAAATATGTAAACAAGGCAGGCAATGCTGGTTGACCACACTAATCCTAAAATATTAGCAGATTTTTATCTTTTAAAAACAACATTGCTGTAACTACACATAATACATTCACATGTCGGTGTATTGTTTAAATATGGTTAATCAATGCATTTATTGACTACAAATTACCCACCATCACTTCTGTCTCTCTCTATCTCTAACTAGCACTTCCTGGAACTATCTCAAGTCTGCGGTACTTAAGTAACGAAAGCAACTATCTCTCTACATTCAAGCTATTTAAAGGCATGAATAAAACTTTTTTTTTTTTCAAAGATGAGTTTTAAGGGATACAATTATTGATTACATGGGAACTAACAGGGTAACACTTTACAATACGGGTGCACTAATATGCATTAATTCATGTTTAACTAATGCACAGATAATCATGAGTTAATGGTATAACTCATGAAGAACTAAACCATTAATTAATTATTACTGCATCAGCAACTAATAAAGAGTCTATATGATTAATAGATTAAGTAATACATGAATTGCTATTAATTCAATGTGTCATTGTGTATTAATTCCTTAATAACATATTTTATTAACTAATAGTGTAAATTAATGTGTTAATGTCTGCTTTGATTAATCATTAGCTAATGATTTGCAAAGGTATCATTATGTTATGACTTTACTAGTTGAGGCACATCATTATTAACTAGTCATTTAGTAATTGTAGTAATTTACACATGAATTTGCACTAACAATGAAGTAATTAATCATATATTAATGTATATTAGTGTACCTGTATTATCTGGAAGTTGAAATACAAGGCTTTGGCCCATTCTGGTAATTAACACATTAATTAACACTTTTAGTTAAAAAAATGAGTTATTAGGGAATTAATCCACAATTACATATTTAATTAATAACAATGCATGTATGAACTAATACATTAACCATACAGACTGTTAATTAGTTCCTAATGTGGTAATCATTAATGAATAGCTTAGATAATAATTGGTTACACATTAATTCAGTATTATCTGTGCATTAGTTAAGCATGAATTAATGCTTATTAGTGCACCCGTATTGTAAAGTGTTACCAACTAACAGATAAAAAAAAGTCTGATTTGTTCCTGTGTAAATAAACCCACACGAGTATTTTTTTCAGTATTAGTTTGTCAAAGTGAAATTGTCTGTCAATAATTATTGATTTTTGATCTAATCAAATGTTTTAAACATCATTTATCTGACCTTTTTATCTGCGACAGCTTCATCTAGAGGACAGAATCTGTGGTTGGTGTGTTTTCTGGAGTCTCGACACACCACACACACGGGCTGTTGATCATCCAGACAGAAGAGTTTGAGCTTCTCGTTGTGATCGTTGCAGACCGTTTCACCTTCAGATCCAGATTTCTGTCTTCTCTCCTGTGGAAAACTCTCACACAAGTTCTTCAAAGCCAAATTTACCGGAGGACGATCATTTGAAGATGTTGTTCGGCAAACCGGACATTCTTTAAGTGTTTTATTTTCCCAAACCCTCTGAATACAGCTTGAACAAAAACTGTGGCTACACGACAGAAGAACAGGGTTTATAAAAATGTCACAGCACACCGGACAAGATAAATCCTCCTCAGCAAAAGATCTAGACGCCATTTCAAGTCACTTAAAACTAACTTCAAAGCCAGTCTTCAAAGTTTCACTTTCATTTAAGTAATTATCTGGTTTAAATAAAAAAGCTTCACATCCACAGCCAGAACTCTCTAAAATGTGCATTAATAATCATCAGAAATAAAAATCACTAAAGTTTTCATTGTTCATTGTTGTCAACAGAGCTACAGGTTCTGTGTGAACTATAACTGTCTGCAGATTAACAGGTGTTTTTCCCCAAGATCTATATTGCCTTTTTTACTGGACACCTTTGAACTGTTCAGAGTTCAGTAAATTCACGTGATTAGGATCATCCCATACAGGAATCGTGCCAGGTCAGAGCATTTTATTTCTCTGCTCAAGTTTTTTTGTTGTGTTTTACGATATAAATGTTCACTAAAAGCATTCATACTGCTTAAAATACATTTTATTAAAGGTCTGTAGAAGAAATGCTGTTACTTAAGATAGTCTTTCCATTTAAAAAAAAAAAAAGGTCAAACAGTAGGTTTTAAAAGCTGAATTAGTTGTCTACCTCTGTTATGTGTATACGTTAAAAATACGAGCAATAAGCGGAAAAATACAAAAAGACATCAAGAAAACTCTAGCATCATGATGGTGAGTTTAGCACAGGCAAATAACACAATTTACTTCATAAAAAATGTAAAATGTTCAGCAACAAACATCAACATGTAAATACAGCAGAAACCAGAGGGTGTAGTGTACAAGACATTAACTACTATAATTTTGTCCTGATGTTGCCGAGCCCTTCCAACATCTGAACCCATGCAAGTGGACTCCTATTACCTAACTCATGCGAAGAATCCTCAACCAACTGTGCTTGTACTGCGGGAGAGAAAGTCACATTATCACAGCCTGTCCAGCTTGACCACCACGCCCGGCGGTGAGTACTATTCAACTTCCACCTCAAATTAATTCTCTATCTCGTAATACTGTGCATGTCCTAACCCCCCGCATTTGTGTCTCAGCGCAAGCCCTCATCGACTCAGGTTCCGCAGGGAACTTCATCTCCAGCCAACTTCTCCAAAAACTGAACGTCCACAGGAAATGCTGCTCTTTAAGATTTAAGTATCCACACCATCCACGGAAAACCGCTGGGTCGTGGTCAAATCCGACACTTCTCTCCCACTCTGACGCTCCGCATCGGATGCCTGCATCCCGAAGAAATCAATCATGTTTATGGTGCTGGAAGGATCCACCGCTGATCTCATCCTGGGACGCCTGTGGATGTCACAACACCAACCTCGCATCAACTGGGACAGTGGTAAAATCCTGCAATGGAGTGATGCCGGCTTCCAATCCGGTCTCTCTTCAGTCCAGAAACCATTAAAATCTCGTTCTCACTCATCTACAACTCCTGATCAACCATCACTCTCCATCAACTCCACCTCCTTCACTTCCTTGAAAGTCCATAGGTGGATCCCTCCAGAATACCGGGCGTTCCAGGATGTCTTCAGTAAGCGGTTGGCAACCTAACTTCCACCACATCGGCAATGGGACTGTGCAATCAACCTACTAACTGGGGCTTCTCTGCCCAAAGGCAGAGTATATCCACTGTCCATCCCGGAGCAGAAGGCCATGGAGGAGTATATCCAGGTGGCACTCCAACAACAATTCATTCGTCCATCTATGTCCCCTGCCGCGTCAAGCTTCTTTTTTGTCTCCAAAAAGGACGGAGGCTTGAGCATAGACTACCGTCACCTCAATTCCCACACAGTCAAATACAGCTATCCACTTCCTCTGGTCCCAGCCGCCCTGGAACAGCTAAGGGGAGCTCACATTTTCTCCAAGCTGGACCTGCGAAGCGCATACAACCTCATTCGTATACGCTGAGGAGATGAGATGAAGACTGCCTTCATTACCCCTTCAGGTCACTACGAATACTGGGTCATGCCGTATGACCTGTCCAACTCACCTTCAGTATTCCAAGGCTATATGAATGAGGTGTTCCAGGAATTTCTTCACCGATCCGTCGTGGTCTATATAAACAAAATCCTTATCTATTCCCGGAACCTGGCCGAACATCGCCTCCACGTGACGCAGGTCCTGGAAAAACTACGCCATCATCATCATCTCTACTTCAAGCTTGAAAAATGCGAGTTCCACACAATCTCAGTCCACTTCCTAGGGTAC